GTGTTCCATTATTCCAAGGAAATTCTACCTCATCCAGGGCATCATGCACTCTGCATTCGTCTAGTAGTAAATAAGTAGCAGTCATAAAAATTAATTGCATTACTACTGTGATGAAAGAAATGGGTTAGAAAACTGCAATATAGCATTGTAAAACAAAAGGGAACAAGAGGACTGACTACTAAAGGGCAAAACGCTTCATAGAAACTTTATCAAAACCAGCTGCAGTCTTATTATATGAATGAAGAAAGAGCATGTGCTTTGGAATCAAAACCAGGACTGCATCCTCTTAGGAGCTTAGTTTTTAACAAGAGATTGGACAACCATTTGTCTGAAATGGTATAGGTTTCCTGCTTGAACAGGGGGTTGGACTAGAAGACCTCCAAGGTCCCTTCCAACTCTGTTAAACAAACTTGACTTAACTTAATAGCTGTTCTATTAAAGATGGGCATCACTGTTCTTGACCTAGGACTAGAAAACATGGGAAAGTGTTACAGCAGCTTCTCACAAAAGCTTAATTGAGAACATCATGCATTCCATCCTTCCACAAATGGTAGATGGCTTGTACTCACACTGAAGATAACGTAAACCAATGATTTGCTCATGGTCTTTCATTTGCAACCCATGAATGTCCTGCAACTTTATCAATCTTATTTATGTACAGGGAACCATTTTTAGGAGAAAAGCAATATTATCCACTTTCTTCTTTAGAATCCTCCCAAGAATCTTCTCGGATCTAGATACATTCTCCTGGAAGTTTTGAGACTTTTCCCTTTCCACACATTCCTATAATAACAATAAATAACAATGTCATTTTGGACCAGGAGAGAGCAGCTCATGTTCTGCAAACCATATGCCACCCCAACATATACCAATCCCAATTTATGGTCTACGGAGTATTGAAATCTAGCAATTTAATGGCCAATTTTTAGAACGCATTGTTCAGTGAAAAATATCAGTAAACAAACAAAAAAACTGAAAAGTCTCTGTGAGAGAAATTATACTCACTTTCAGTCCTAAAGCCCTCCACAAACAAAGCCAATCTAAAAAATATTTGATTCTACACATAGAGATATGAAATATCCATATTAATATTAATATTAATATGTGCCGATATTCATGCAAACCCCTAATGGGCAATCCGTGGCTTTGGTAGCCAAGATTAGGATAATGTGCAAATGCAAGAAAATAGCTTCATCTGAAGAAGCCAGAGAAGAGAGACTTGCTTTGTTTTCCGCATGCTAAAGCCCCTTTCTCTTAACTTCTTTTGAGCAGTTGAAGCCAGAGCTCTGCCTTCATATATCATGCTACCCTTGAATAATCAAAACACAGGTGGTTTGCTAGTTTGGGTTTAATGTGATGTGCTAATTGCTTATTGTGTTATCATTTTAATTTACGCTTACTTTATTTATAATGTGCATTTATATTATGGATTTTATTGCTGTACTGTCAGCCAATATTTTACAAGGAATATATTATGATGGGGAGTGCAAGGGACAGTCCCAGTCTTTAGTTTCATTGGGTTGATTGCTTGAATGGTCCTTGGGTGTTTAGTTTCTATGTGTGTTAATTTGGTTTTATCATCAGCAACAAAAAATAAATCTGCACCATGACTGGATGCAGAAAGTAAAGGAAGAATTTATACTGAAATCTCTTATACATGTCTAATCAGAATTAAACCCCATTAAATTGAATCATACTTTGGAGCAATTAAATTCAGTAGCTGCATCTAGCCCACATTTCTTATCTATGCCAAATGAGTACAACGTTTAGAAAAAAGGTGTGGAAATACTCAATACAGAAAGAATCGGAGCATTTTCACACTCTGGTTCCTTATCTAGCATTCCAGTTCCATTGCTCAATCATAATTGTCCACACCTCCTAGTTAGAAACAGAAAACCATTGCAAATTGGGAAATAGTCCTTTCAACTAAAGCAATTCACCTTCAACACATCTTCCAACAGAGTATTTGCAAGAGAGCACTTCACTGCATCCATCTAAGAAGTGAAGAGAGAATTTTGCACCCTACTTCACCCTAACTTAGTAGACACAACATTAAAAATGGAGAAAGTTCCTGGCCACAACTTCTGGCATTGTATAAGCATTATATAAGCAAAAAATGAGACCCAAGAAAACCTACCAGGCATCTCAGTTGTGTGCTGCCATATTTCAGATGTTCAGCATAATTTGATCTTGTTCCTGCATGAAAGTTCAGCCAGAAGCAGTTTACTGATCTGCTCATCTATTATATTGCCATTCGTGCTAAATTCACAGGCAGTGTACCAGTGTGAAGTAGTCCCTTAAGACTACTTCAATTAAATTTGATGAAGTCAAAGACCATCTAAATTTAACAACAACAAAACTGGGTCATAGCTAGAATCACAGATGAATCACATGCTCACAAGAAGTCAAGAAATCTTGTTCAGTGGAAGAGTGCACTGCAGACTAAAAAAAAACTGAACTGATTCACAAAAAGATAATGAATATATATTTTGTATACAAAGAACAAAGTGATCTGGAAACTCAGCTTCTGTTTGTAACATTTTTTGGTGACTAACTGACTGATACTTGCGTTGATTATGCTGATGGGGTGATAAGAACATTTTTTTCAGAAGGAAGCTGCTCCATACTGTTTCTGATTACTGAAAATCAATCTTGAAATATTTGATTTCACATTACACATCATTATCAATAGAATAACAAGAGGGAATATGACACTTCAATATACTTTTTTAAAATAACTCTCTTTTCCAAACATACTGAGGTTCCTGGGAATAGTTGTTCGAGCACAACTTTTGAAAAGGCTATTTTATACACCTGACATTTTCTTCCAGAATCTACATTAATTCGTGATATTCATTTTTGGCTGGAAGCATGTTGCTTCTACAGCTATTTTTTATTTTACATCTTCTTTATGAAGATGTAATTTTTTTTTCAGAAAGTCTTTTGAACCGGTGAACATTGAGCTGTCCATTTATTTGTTTGTTTGTCTGTCTGTTTTCCAACTCTTTTCTAATACAAGTTTAATGAAATTGTCTTATGGTATAACGTATTTGTTCAAGACACTTACGTTCTACTTTTCTATGCAAGCTCAAAGGCACAATGGTGGAGAAGTACAATCTTCTCGAATTTTATCACAACAATCCCAGGAGGAGGGAGATTGGGCTGAGATCGATTGGCCCCAAATTGCTCATGGCTGAGTGGGAACACTGACTTAACATGGGAACCCTGCCTTATTGAACAGCTGCTTGGGTTAATGTTGTTTATGCTACCCTCTCACAAACTGCATATATCCAGCTATGTGGATTGTGCTTTCCAGCAGGGCCACTGGTGACAATGCTGAAAGAAATATAGGTCTTTAAGCACATACTGAGTAAAAATACTAAATACTTAGCTGCATTCTATCCAGGGTGCATTACTAGCCCATATTTCCAGACAGTTCTTGGTTTCAAAACATGGCTGTTTAAATCTGTGCTACAGATAAACTCTGGAATCATCTTCATCAGCAGTATGTGTTTTATCAAACAGTTAAAGCATTCATAAATGCAGGAAGTTGTCAAAGCTAGTGGACCTGTCCACCATTAGTATTGGTAGAAAACGCAGCATATTTACTATTGTCACTTATCTCAATTGCACACTTTCTTATAATTGTATTTGGGGGGAGGGATTTTTTGTGATCAGGTCAGGTTTTTTTTACATCTGTTAGTACACCTTTCAACTTTCTGGTGTGCTGGAAAGATTAGCAGTCAGTTTGGAAATGTGTTTTTTGTCCCTTTTTAGTAAAATGATGGGTTTTAATAAACCCATTTTTGGGGAGATACAGTGAACTGAAAACAAATTCACTAAATCAGAGCTGACAAACATGGGAAAAACCAAGCAACAGGTGAGACTAAATGAGAGATTGCTCACTTGTTACTCTGGACATCTGGTCCTCGCAAGGAGATGGTAAGTCCGCAATATTATGCAGGTTTGAGAGCCAAGATCAGTCTTCTTACTTACAACTACAGCAGAGTCTTTCAAAGGACACTAAGTTCAGAAAACTCACTTTCTAATCACTTTTGGAAATTGCCTGTTAACCACTTAAAGCTATTAGAGTTCAAAAAATATTCACTGTTTATCTTTAGAATAAAAATTAATTTTAAGCCTGAGAATTTAAATATTTGAAATAAACAGGGAAAGGCTGTTTAGCTTTTTGAGAAAAAAAAGTTATAAATGGATCAAGGGTCCAGAAAAATTTGGAACGCTGACTTTTATTATAAGATATCAGTTCTTTTTTTTTCTATTCTTTTCCTTTTCTGAGTTTAGTGTTATTAGATTTTACTATTGTAATTAATTATATTATATTCAAAAATAAACCCATTTTATTATTTGTGATTCCCCTCTCAAGATAACAGGAAACCATGTTGATTTCTTGGGACAGTCTGATCAAAACAGATCTGGAATCCAGAAATGACTGTTTGGGGATGACATGTGGTTTCAAGACCACATACTGTATACCTCTAATGGAAAACAGGTGTTGGGATGTGTGCAAGAGCAATACAATCAGACTGGTCTGAATTTATCTAACCTCACTCTTCATTCTGGGGAAGCAAATTAAGATTGCTCTGTTACATCAGCACGGCAAGAAAACTTGCATCAGGTGCTTATGGATGTTACGTCAGGCATAAATCTTCTAGCCCAGAAACGAGAGACGTCGCAGACTTTCCTGGAAAGGTATTTCTGTCCTTTTTCAACAGAAACGGAGAAACAGCCAATAGTTAATTCGCTTGGCCTCTTGGGGGGGGGGGGGAAGAGGAAAAAAAAGGGGGGGGGTATATTTTGAAAGTCGGGGTGCTGGGAAAGCAGTGAGCTAAACACCCAGCAGATGGCGGTCAGGGAACCTCGTTCCGTCTTTGCTATGCTTTAAACAATAGAGGAAAACAGCTCTCCCGTGCGCGCGTGCCCATCGATTCCTCTCCTGCCGTCCTCTGCCTGCCCCCCCCCCTTTTTTTTTTCCTCTCACACTTCCTTGGCCGCCGTTTGATCGCGCGGAGAAACCGCGGGAAGGAGAGAAAAAAACCCAACAGGGTAGCAATTGCCGTCCCCGCCTTGCCATTAGCAAAAAGCCAGGGCATGCTCAGTAGGAGCCAACCTCCACTTGGGAGCAGCAGCCTGTGACTACACCACCCCCTGTCTCTTTCTTGCGTCAGATTAATGTTCCGGGGAGGGGTGGGTGGGGGGAGCCGAGAAGGAACCACGCTCGGTTTGTCCGGGGGAGGAGCGGAAAGGGCTGTTGGGGGCGAAGGACTTGGCTCGGAGCGCCGCGGAGCTGGCCAGCGCGGAACGTCGGAGGCTTCTCTTTTGGAACGTTGATACACTTTGGAACGTTTCGCGGTTTCCTGCGGCGCCAAGGCGGAGGCCCCGAGCCGGTTCTCTGAGGAACGGCGGCTCCAGGAAGACGGGGGGGTGGTTGTTTTGAGTCCCACTGGCGGGCCCCTGCGGGGTTTGGGTGAGCGATCTGCTCGGTGTCCGCAGTTCGATGGTTTGTTCCGACCGAAATGAGCCGCCCGTCCTCCGCCGGACCCAGTGCTAACAAACCTTGCGGCAAGCAGCAGCAGCAGCAGCACACGCCATCGCCGGCTGCTGCTGCCGCCGCCGCGAACACCGCCGCCGCGGCCGCCACCATCTCCGCTGCCGGAGCCGGCTCTTCCGCGGTCCCTGCCGCGGCCGCTGTGATCTCGAGCCCTGGAGCTGGGGAAAGCAGTGGGGGGCCGGTATCGCCTCAGCATCACGAGCTGACCTCGCTCTTCGAGTGCCCGGTTTGCTTCGACTATGTGCTGCCCCCGATCCTGCAGTGCCAAGCCGGGCACTTGGTTTGCAACCAATGCCGGCAGAAGCTGAGCTGCTGCCCCACATGCCGGGGATCCTTGACCCCCAGCATCAGGAACTTAGCGATGGAGAAAGTGGCCTCGGCAGTCCTCTTCCCTTGCAAGGTAAGGCTGGGGGGAGAAGTCGGCGGGCAATGCCACCGAGAAGGAAGGTGGGCGGGGAGAGGAACGGGATGGAGCGACGGGGAGCGACGCTGTTGGTCTGAGCACCTGCCCTTGAGGTTGCGGCAGGGAATCCCAACTGTTTCTCCAATAGTGGCTTTATTTTAAAAAAAAAATTCCCGTTCCCCCTTGGGAAGACTTCAGGGGATCGCCTTGAAATAGTAGTTCTTATTAGAAAAGTCTCGGGTTTTCCCTGCTCTGGCTCCTACACACTTGTGAAAGTGAGGTGTACATATTTTATATACTATATATATATATTCTTTCCCTGGCATTCATTCAGATCACCATTCCAGTAGCTCTTTCGCTTAAGAACTGCGTTCTCTGTACTCTTCCTATTGGACTGGGCATCAACATTTCAGGAAACGAAATGATCTGCTCAAGATTTCTGCTCACAAACCATCTGCCCAGTGAGAGATGAACAGAATGGTTCCTGCTGCATTTTCTAGGCAAGAGACTGAAATCGAGATAGGAAGGCACCGGATATAAATCTCACCTGGACCACGGATGTAACCAAGACAATATTCCTGTCTCAGCTCTTGGTACTTGTTCTATAGGCTATTTAAAGTAGTATCTTTAGGTCAGCAAGTCCTCAAGCAGGTCCTCTTCAGTTGTACTGGTGCTGCCTTTGGCCATGTTTGCGAAGAATTGCTGGAGTTGCAGACCTATTTTCATTTGAAGGATATCAAGTTACCGAATGCTGCCCTAAAGGATTGTTGTAAAAAGATTGAATTAAATGTATGTAAATACAATAGTCTTGAGGACTTAAAAAATAGGTATGCTGCATAATCACTAACCTTGTAGATCTTTACAGCAAACTTGTCTCCTTAGTTATTTACGTTGGGGGGGAAGGGAAGGGGGCGGGGCAGACCCAGAAACTTACAGGTTTAGTCCCATAGTCTTTTTTTTTTTTATGTTTGGTTGTTAAAGAGTGGTATTGGCTATTTTTCTCAACATTCCCGCCTCCAATGTTTCCCATAGTTCTTACAAATCTATAGTAAATCACTCTGAAATATAAATAGGAAGTGTGAGGTTTCTTATGAAATGTAGATAAAGCTTCTCAGCCTAAATGAGAGACCCTGTGGATCAGTACTAAGAAGGAAAATGGGGGGAAAATGAACACTGCTAGTCCAATAAAGACAAATCTCTGTGAATTGGAAATCTGGCTGATTTGGATAAGGTATGAAATCAGTCTTGGATGAGTTGCATTGCCATGGAAAGTTCAGACTGAATGCTTGTAGGCTCACTACAAAGAATTGCTGTGGCTAGAAAATATTTTTGCAAGCTTCAGCTTGAACAGCAGTTGTGGCTCTGTGTGAAACAATTGAGCATGGCTTGGATAATATCTTCATTAATTACAAACTAGACAATAGCAAAGTATTTTAAGAGGTGGTGCCTGTGTAACTTCAAAGTGCAACTTTTCTGATGCTGGAAACTTACAAAAAGTTGGAAAACAACTCAGTTTTCGTACCAACTGATTCTAGTTCAGAAGTGCTAATGTAAATAAAGCAATCCCAAATGACTACAGGCAGGGCTTTTTGTAAGGTATAAGTTTTCTTATATAATCTTGCCTATGCTTGCAGAATTGTGTAGAGGATACTTTATGAATGCTCATCACTAAAATTTGTTAAATTAACACGGACAAGAAACAGTGTTGCAGCCATTACTGAAAAGGCCCTGTAGTCTATCTCTTTCAGTTGAAATGTTAAGGGAGCTCAGAAATATTTCTGTTTGAAACTTCCTCCATAGTTGGCTTGCAAATTTAAAAGTTATTTTTCAAAACTTTATGTTGGTGACTGTGGCTATTGTCCAACAGTACTCTTCTTTATCCGTTATGTGATGAAGTTGTAGCACTGAAAAGCCTCTAAAGCACTTTAAATAATAACATGAAATAAATGCCCCAGTTAGTGGAGGGTAGGGAGGAAATATTCTTAAATATCTGGGGAGCATTACTGTTCAACAGCTACAAAGTCATATGACTGGTAAAACAGGAATATATGGAGCTATTCTAAAGTGCAGGTTCTCACCACTTGTATTAAAAGCTTCTATAACAACAGTTCAGTGAAATGCATCAAAGTTAATGGACGTCCTGTAGTAATCTAACTAAACACGTTTACAGACCCTCTTGGGATGATGCTATATCTCCATGCTTTAGTATTTAGTAGCATAATGCAATATATCATTACTGGGTGCTTCTTTTAAGCAATCACTATCCACCTGGTGATATACATACATGTGAGTATATCCATTGGCTGTATTAGCTAGAAACTAACTTCAGATATTTGAAATTTGAAGATTTCTTGGCTGAGGAAGGTTGGTTTAAGTTGTTGGTGGCCTGAAGGCAGTGGTGGGATTCACCTATTGTAATAACCGGTTCACTGCACGCATGTGCGCCAAATTTGTGCTTCCGTGCATGCTCAATACTATCGAAAATTACCTTCTACTGAATCCAGAGTGAGTAAAACAGCTGAGGCATTGCAATCCGCTCTGCCATGCCTATCAGCTGGGCTTAAAAACAAAAGAAATATAGGTAGGTTATAATGCAGGGGTGGGCAGGGCCCATCTGATCATTGGAGCGAACTGATTCACTCTCAGCTGATCATCGGAGCTACCGGTATTCCTGAACTGGTCAGAACCAGCTGAATCCCACCCCTGCCTGAAGGAGTCCTCTCTGGATCTCTCTTCCTTGTAGTTGACTATTTAATATTCCCTACATCTTAGGAATCCTTTTTCCAAATCTTTATCAGATATTATCAGTTTAGGTTTTTAAAATATGTATCTTTTTATTTATGGATTGCTATATGTCTACATCAGGAGTGGGTTCTACTTACCTTTACTACCGGTTCGCAATGGGATCGCATGTGCGCTCTCACTTCGCTCGCCCGCGCGCCTTCCTTCTGCACATGCGCAGATCGCTGATGATGACATCCAGGGTGGTAGGTGTGGCCTCCCACTGGTTTTACTACCAGTTCTTGTGAACCGATCCGAACCGGGGGCAACCCACCACTGGTCTACATGCAGATATATAGTAACTGCTCCTTATATTTCTTCGGGCGAGTGAACCCATTTTACTTCTCAAATGATAGACACCCAACCATCAAAGTTCATTATTAAATAAAAAGATTATAGTAGTCAACATGGTGAGCATGGATTCCACAATAAAACACTAATCCCGTAGGATCTCTATTTATTGCTTCTTCTTTAAAATGTCTCCTTACCTTTCTGCTTTCATGATACTTTTACTGGGGGAAGCAGCTACTGTATTGCATCTAAGTGATCTAATATTTAAAAAGAAAAAGATGTGTCAGCTGGCAAGGGGGAGAATTGGTTTTTTTTTTACCCTTTTTATCACTACTAATCTCAAGAAGCCACTTTTAACTTGATACCCTGGTATCAGTTTCAAGTGTCTTTTGCTCCCAAGAGTTAGGTTTAAACTGATCAATATGCACTTTAAACCTTCTAAAGTGTCATTGAGACAGATCTTAAGGTCAGCTGATAAAAGCAAGATTGGAAATGCTACTTAAGTTATCCAGAGGAAAGGCTCCGAAGAAGAAAAGAAAGCCGAGGTTGAAGAAGTAGTGTTGATCCCCAGGTATGAATTAAAGGAGGAGAAGAGACATCAGATACAATAGTTGTTGTTTTTTTTTCATTGGGGGGAGGGGAGCATTTCGGGTTCCATGTTTGGGTTCTCTAGTTCAAGGGTGAAACATATTGCTTCCTGAAGATGTTAGGCAAGAAGACTGAGTGAGAACTTAAGATGGACATTTTCTGTCAATCATACCCAGGGGTATTGGATTAGATGAACCCATGTGTGATACTTATGCTAAGTTCTGCTCAGCATAAGAAGCTATTTTATATTGAGTCAAACCATTGGCTCAATTAGGTGGCTTGTTTTAGATACTGAAGGGTACAGTTTCCATCAGATTAATCTAACATGAACTATGGTTAGGAAAGATGGCAGCTGTGGTCCAAATCAACTGGGAATCATTGATAGAGGAAAGTTGTCTTACATTGATTAACTGTAGCTCTCAATTGTTTCAGCTGCAGATTTTTTCCAGATCTATTTAATTTATTCCCAAATTGAACTGGGAATATTTTTCATATAAGCATATGTGCTACTCCTGAACTATTGAACTTTTTCCCATTAGCCTACTCAACCCATGAAGGATGTAGTAAGACCTATCAGGCATTAATCAGCTGTTTTGTCACCAAGAGGAAAATACTTTAGCAAGAAATTTGACAATGTATACCACGTCATTCTCATCAGCAGATTACCCTATGAAGACTGAATGGCATGACATTAAGAAGATAGCTGGCTTGAAAATTTTACTAAAAGAGCCTATCTATCAAATTAGAGTGATATCAAGTGGACCATCCCAAAATTCAGGCCTTGGTTTCTACTCTTCAGTATTTTATTAGTAATGGATGAAGAGGTGGAGGGAACGTTTATCAAATGAACTGATTATACAAAATTGAGTGGACTAGCTAATACCTTAGAAGACAGAAATGAAATATCAGAAAATACCAGAGTAACATTTAACATGAAAAGTTCTTCAGTTAGGAAACAAAAATCTGAAGCACAACTACATGATGGGGAATAGTGGCTTAATAATAGTATTTGTGAAAATCAGATTAGTAATTGATTTCAAATTAAATATGAGCCAAATGATGTCACATAGAACATCAAGATCTGTTCTCTTTTTATTAGAGTTCAGGACATGGTATAATGGATGTAAGTTATAGGAAGACAGATTTTGATTGAATATGAACAAAACTTTCTCTAACAATAAGAGCATGGAACCCAATAAGATGGAATAAGAGTAGTGAGACTAGAAAAGTGGAGTAATTGGTTCCAATGTTACACTGCTCTACTGCTTCATTGGATGTGTTTAAGTGAAAGCTATACAACCATTGGTCGGGGTGCTTTACTTTGGATTCCTGTTCTG